CAAGTTGACTCATGAAACCATTTGTTTATTATATCGCAATCGCATATCGCAATATTGACCTCAATAATCGCAATATGACATTTTCCCCAAATCGTGCAGCCCTAGATTCTATTAAGTTATTAGCTAAAATGTAAAGTTGCTAATAAACGCCACCTTTTGGTCAATTTTCAGTAGACATATTCGTTACACAATATATCTATTTTTGCAATGAGACATTCAGAATTGATGTTATTATCTGCTGAAGTTTGATTGGCTGCTGAAAATCATGTTTTTTGAAGTATCCGAGTAATATTAAAGTAAAGAAGAGATGAAGATCAAGAGGATGTATATCAATTTAATGGATCATCACACTATTGCAGAGTTAGTGTTTTTTCAGTTGTAGCTCTCATGTTGGTGGATTTTTTTTTAACTTGGTGCATGTCCTCAAAATGTCCAGTTGTCTATATGTGTAAAGTTTAATCTAAACATCCTTACAAATACATAGCACTTTGAGCTTGGACCCCTAATAATATGATAAGAAATACCAGTTTGCAACATCACGCAGCATAACATAATGTTTTTGTACAGTTAAAATGACTTGAAACGGATGATAACGGAAGCCTTGCAGATTAAAGCTAAAAATAAGGCGTTTTCTGTGCATTCACAATGGTGTCCTTGCAGGTCCAGGGAGGGAATGGTAAATGATGCTGAGCCACCATCTGGATGAGCTGCCAGACCTGCACTTTAGAGAAAAGACACACATTCTTTGCAGTTTGCACAAATTAACATCCCCTTAATACCAATTGAGCAGTGTTTATATGGCACAGCCTATAACAGCCAGTGTGCATTGTGGTGGAAATTTTAATATCATCTAACCTTATTTAACATCTACCATTTGAACAGATATACTGTACGAAACCAATGGAAAACTTATAACTTTGAGTGTGTGCGTGTGTGTGTATAAATTACAAATATGGGAAATGAAACTAGACAGTCTAAGTTTGAAACCTTGTGATTATGAAGTAATGAAGAACCAATCAAATTGTAGGTAAATTATGTAATGTATCATGTCATTTTGCCATACCTCCCTATTTTTTAAAAACTGTTGTATTTGTGTTTACTGGTGGGATTCTCAATGGGATTTGTCTGAAATCCTCCGGCCATGCTTATTGCTTCTTTTTGGGAGATTCTCTGAGAACTGCTCGAGAACTCCCGGCCGTAATAAAGAACATTTAAAGAACAATTATTCAAGTCTGTCTGTCATTTAAGCTGCGCGGCAAGAGAACAAGTTAGAATTATCGGCTCAGCAGTAGTCGTCTGGAGACACGCTGGAATATAGGATTTAGACTCGGCAGTAGTTGTCTGGACTCTGGAGACACGTCGGAGTATAGTTAGGGACAAAAGGCTGTAGTCGTCTGGAGACACGCTGAATGGTTAACGTAGCTAACATCAAATATATATAGACACGCTAGCGTATAAGTTATAATAGTAGTTAGTTTTAGGGAGACAAATCTAAAATAGTTAGGTTTGAGGATAAAAAATCCATCACAGCATCCTTTTATTACCAGTCTATCCATCTTCTTGAATATGCTGCAACTATACCTAATGTTTTTTTGTTCACATGGACCAGAATCTTGAGAGAATGTTTCCAAGACCTTGTTGAATGTCACAAATAATTAGGCTAAATTAGGGTCAACTGGTATCCTACCCAGTTTTAGAAATGTGCACCTAATAAAGTCAAAATTGCATGTGTATGTAACATGATCTGTTAGTAAATTGATACATTTAGTTTCAATGAGCATTCTAAAATTCATGTCTTCAATATGAAACAGCTCTTTAAGCTCCACTGCTTTGTTTATTTACTGCGAACAAACACTTATTGTCGTTTTCAGATAAAGTACTTTTTCCATTTGTCATTCACGGTGGGGCTCATGTGGGTAGAAATTTCTAAAACTTCTTGCAGCTTGGTTATCTAGCTTCAACAAATAATACTGCAACTTATGAATGCATGTTTTTCATGATTCTGACCTTCGGGATACATTGCTCTTCAGATTGTCTTTGCAGCCATTGGATGTAACATGCTACCAGTTCTTCTAGCATGCTGTAGTAGATGGTGCTCCTGTAGTTCATATAAAGCAAATTATGTTATGTTTGTTTATAATTCAAGGTCTTTTTCCAGTACTGATTTTAAACTGTTGCACTGCTGAATACTGTTGCACTGTTGTATATTTATTCATATGCAAACACATAAACTAATAAACCATTTATACTAAGATAAAATGTTTGAGGAAATACTGGAGATCCTCATTCTCGATCTCCATTTATTACAATGCATTTTAGTTATTTTGTACTTTCACTATTTTTCACTGGTTTCCTTAACAACAACACAGCATGAATTACAAATTAGGCCATAAGGTTAACTTTAATGAATGCTTTTACCAACTTATGCAGGTATGGTTATACACTTTGATCTGTTTTTATTTCTTTTTCATGTGCGTTCGATATTTTATTGGTAATGTGTTTATATCAAATGCTGGAAATGTGTGGGATTGAAGAGGTACATTATATGAAATTTATTTGAATAATAAGAGTGTGATGCAATACAAACTCATTATCAATAGATATTTTTGATATAATTCTTTGAAATTAATTTAGTGATTGCATCGTGAAGTCTTCTATACAAGACATTTCCTATATAGCAATATTGTATCTGATATAAAATTATTATTAATATTTCCTTTATATTACTTTATTATGGTAAATGAGATTGTCTGCAATATTGTGAACTATAGTCCACGGGAGGTCTGAGCTGAGCAAGGAGTAGGCTGATTATACTACTGATTAAACACAACGATTTACACTCACCTAAAGGATTATTAGGAACACCATACTAATACTGTGTTTGACCCCCTTTCGCCTTCAGAATTGCCTTAATTCTACGTGGCATTGATTCAACAAGGTGCTGAAAGCATTCTTTAGAAATGTTGGCCCATATTGATAGGATAGCATCTTGCAGTTGATAGAGATTTGTGGGATGCACATCCAGGGCACGAAGCTCCCGTTCCACCACATCCCAAAGATGCTTTATTGGGTTGAGATCTGGTGACTGTGGGGGCCATTTTGGTACAGTGAACTCATTGTCATGTTCAAGAAACCAATTTGAAATGATTCGAGCTTTGTGACATGGTGCATTATCCTGCTGGAAGTAGCCATCAGAGGATGGGTACATGGTGGCCATAAAGGGATGGACATGGTCAGAAACGATGCTTAGGTAGGCCGTGGCATTTAAACGATGCCCAATTGGCACTAAGAGGCCTAAAGTGTGCCAAGAAAACATCCCCCACACCATTACACCACCACCACCAGCCTGCACAGTGGTAACAAGGCATGATGGATCCATGTTCTCATTCTGTTTGCGCCAAATTCTGACTCTACCATCTGAATGTCTCAACAGAAATCGAGACTCATCAGACCAGGCAACATTTTTCCAGTCTTCAACTGTCCAATTTTGGTGAGCTCTTGCAAATTGTAGCCTCTTTTTCCTATTTGTAGTGGAGATGAGTGGTACCCGGTGGGGTCTTCTGCTGTTGTAGCCCATCCGCCTCAAGGTTGTGCGTGTTGTGGCTTCACAAATGCTTTGCTGGATACCTCGGTTGTAACGAGTGGTTATTTCAGTCAAAGTTGCTCTTCTATCAGCTTGAATCAGTCGGCCCATTCTCCTCTGACCTCTAGCATCAACAAGGCATTTTCGCCCACAGGACTGCCGCATACTGGATGTTTTTCCCTTTTCACACCATTCTTTGTAAACCCTAGAAATGGTTGTGCGTGAAAATCCCAGTAACTGAGCAGATTGTGAAATACTCAGACCGGCCCGTCTGGCACCAACAACCATGCCACGCTCAAAATTCCTTAAATCACCTTTCTTTCCCATTCTGACATTCAGTTTGGAGTTCAGGAGATTGTCTTGACCAGGACCACACCCCTAAATGCATTGAAGCAACTGCCATGTGATTGGTTGATTAGATAATTGCATTAATGAGAAATTGAACAGGTGTTCCTAATTATCCTTTAGGTGAGTGTATAGCGGCATTTTCCAATTTATGCAGATTATGCCTATAGATAAAAGTAGAATCACTGAACAGCAGATTTGACTCCAGTCTTTTTTCAACATCACACAACACAACGCAGAGGGGTAGCCGATTCGTAGCGAGAGACGCACACATGCATGCCCAAACCAGCTACATTGGTAGTCTTCATCTCTCCAAAAATGTGTTTGAGGTTTGTATCACCAAGACTAAACTTTGTTTGGCCTTATGCTGATATAATTGTATATTCGGTTATGCAGTTATGTTAGATATGGTTAATTATCACGTTTACATTAACTGCAATATGGCCAAATTCCAGTTATTAAATCAGAATATTCTTGTGCATGTACTGTAAACAGACATTGTTCCTCTAGTTGTGTTGTCAGAAATGATGAGTTTTTCTGTGAGTGGGTCTCCATCTATGCGGTTGAGTTGTCTGTAAGAGGTGAGTGCTCAGAGCCATTAGACAGAGATGCACTGAAGCCATTATAGCAAATAACATTTAGAGCATCACAGTCCAACAACGCATGTACGTGTGTGGATTCACTATGTAACATCTGCTCCACAGAGACTGATGTGTGTAAGGGTGTGGCAGCAGAGAGAGAGACAAAGACAGAAGGAGGAGAGGACAAGGAGGGAAAGTGAAGGAGTACTTAGTCAGCAAAGTAAAAGAGAGGACAAATATAAAGAAAAGGGCCCAACAGGCGGAGAAATTGTAAATAGCGGGAAGACAAGAGGACATGTGGCAGAGAGAAAGAGAGAGAGAGAGAGAGAGAGAGAGAGAGAGAGAGAGAGAGAGAGAGAGAGAGAGAGAGAGAGAGAGAGAGAGAGAGAGAGAGAGAGAGAGAGAGACGAGCGAGTGAAGTCATCATTTGTGCTGGGCTGTGCTCTCTCCTCCCCTCTCTCTTACGTCATTGTACACACACACACACACACACACACACACACACACTTAGCACGGGCATAGAGGAAGACGAGAAACCGTCCTTTCAGCATCCTTTCAGTAGCAGCTTAGCATCAGTATCCAAGATTGTCCACCTCACTGTCAGGTAGGCTTGAATCTCTCCTGCTCTTTCATTCTCAATAACACACACCCATCTGGAAGTATTTATGTCATACCTACAAGGTCAAACAGGACCAGGAGGGATTTATGCATGAGACGCAGTTAGCTTGTTTTTATAGTAGGCCTAGCTACATAATATATTTCACATATTTTTAGAGTAGCCTACATTTGAATATGTATTTCGCACATAAAGAATAAAAGGAATATAGGCAGCATTAGGCTACTTGTTTACCAGAACCTTTTAATTTCTCAATGCAAGAGTTTCATGCATTTTTCTTTTATAGATTTAATGTACTTTCACTTTATTATTCCATCTATAAAAGGTAAATGCAGTATTAATTTATTATGCTTTTACGGATTATATGATGCTTTCACGAATTACAAATAGGCCTACCCAATATTAGAAAGAAAGAGAGAGAGACAGAGAGAGGGGAAGCCAGCAAAGACAGCTGAAGCTAATTTAGTAAAGTGGACTAGAGGTCTTCTCGGGTCCTAAAAACTGTACCCGACCCGAATCGACCCGAATCACTACTTACCCGAACCCGACGTGCATAAATTATTTTTTTTAAAGAAAAACCCGACCCGAGACAGACCCGATAAAATTAGACCCGAGTCCGAACCGACGCCATTTCCTTTAGAACCCGACTGGACCCGAACGTAAACGTCATTTACATTGTGCACAGCCTGCAGCCCTGCGTTTCTCAAAAATGCACTGAACATAGACGCGCAAGTGTAAGCGCGCTGAAGTGCTAAAATGTCAATCACACAACACTGTAACCCATTACGTCCAATAAAATTTGGCATAATGTTATTTACCGGACCATACGATGATTGGAACCACCATTCGTTTTCCCTGACATTTTTCGCAATTTCTGTTATCGCCTCCATGCTTTTCTGACAGTGTCGCGTATTTTTAAAATTGATTGACAGGCCTGGCTTAACGACAATTCAAATACTTGCATTTAGTCAAACATCCATCCACATGATGGCGCACTAGTTCTTCTTGGCAAAGGGAGGGATTGGTTTATGTGGAGCGAGCAACTGAGTAAATAAATGCGGATGCAGCCGTGCTTCTGCTTATAGCCCATTTGCACGTAGAAGCGCGGATTCGCTCTCTCACTTAGAAAAAGTGAGAGAACGGTGTCAGTGTCATAGAGTTGTTTTAAATACTGCAATTTTCTTAAATGCCCAACATAGTTTAAAAGAATTCGGGTCTTCTCGGGTCCATTTGGAAAAGGCATATTTATTTTAAATTACCCGAGACCCGAGGCCATTAATACCGAACCCGACCCGTGTCCGAGACACTCGTCTGAGTTTTGGACCCGAACCCGCTCGGGTCTCGGGTCGGACCTCGTGTTTTCGGATCCAAGTGGACCCGTGAAGACCTCTAAAGTGGACTTCATTAAATTACGGCTTTTAGTGCGAGTTATATAAATGTGTCTGTGTGTGTGCGCGTTTATATTATATTACACCAAATGTCCCCACAAGGATAGTGAAACCTGAAATCGCCTACATTGTGGGGACCAGCCAGCGGTCCCCTCAAGGGAAATGGAGTAATGAACATACTGATGTTTTTTTGTTTGTTTAAAAAGTAAAAATGTAGAAAGTTTTCGGTGATGGGTAGGGTTAGGGTCAGGGGCGTCACTAGGCCCTTTTTAGGGGGGCTTCAGCCCCCCTAAACTTCTGCCTAGCCCCCCTAAAAATGTGAGATTAATGTAGGCTACACAAATTCGTGTTCGCTTCAGTCTTGTTATAATCAGATTCAGCGCGTTCTTCATCTTCAATCCGCAGCGGCGCCGACAGAGAGCACGTCAGAAACAGAGGACAGGCTGTGTGTGTGTGTTCATGTGTGTTCATCTGAGCCTCATTGGTCTGTCACTGCTCGTCAATGTCAGAATATTTGAGATGACCAATCAAATCAAAGTAGGCAGGCTTTATGTTCACAGACGCTGCTGAGCGCGAATTTTAACAGTGCGACTCGACGCGTACGGTCAAGTGCGAGATAAGATGTAAGTAGCTAAACTTAACATTTCATATTTTACTTTTTTTAGGTCATAAATGTTAAACGAATGACAAAAAATAATCAGGCAAACTAATATAGTTTTGTCTAATTTCGCCATTTTGAACTGAAAATAGGCCTATATGTAACGTGACTCATGTAATGTAATAATTAGTTTACAAGAAACATTAACAAAGCCGTTTTCATCATGTTAGGCACAAGATTAATAATGAATGTGTACCTATTGAGGATATAATACAAATTGTAGCCTTTAGTAAATTAAAAAAGCTCAGCTTTAGGAGGGGAAGAGAAAGGGACGAAGAGGCTGAGAAAAAAAGAAAGAGTGATGGAGATGAGAAGAGAGCAGGTATTGACAAATAATCTGCCCACTGACATGGTTTTAAAGCTATTTCTTATCCTTTTTTGGTCTTCAAACGTCTTGAAATGCACATATCAGAGAAATAAAAAATTTGAACCCCCTACCAACCTCAAATTTAGGACCTCTGTGACTAAAGCCCTGTCTACGGCCCTGTATTAGGCATTAGATCAATAATAAATGTGTAGCCTACATATTGTGAATGCATTTAATAAACTTAATTACCTTTAGTAGCTTTCAGCAAATAAACGCGTCTGAGAAAATGATTCATAGGCAAAATCAACCTATCAATTGACCCCATGTTTACTTTCTTCACTGACAGACAAAAATGAAAAGCCTATATCAGTCAAAGCTCAGCTTTAGGAGGGGAAGAGACAGGGCAAGATAAAAACAAAGAGAAAAAGAGTGTGATGCTGATGAGGAGAGAAAAATAATCAGCTGCCCACTATCCAAGTTTTTTTGGCCTTCAGAACATCTTAAAATGCACATATGTATATCAGAGAAATCAAAATTTTCTCTGGGAGACCCCTAACCCCCTTATTTGCCCTACCTCATATTAGGGACCACAGTTATTATAAAACCATGCCTTTTCGTAATGAAAATGGTTAATAGTGATCTTTAGATAAACTAAAGTGTTACATTTTTTTATTTAAAAAAAAAAAAATCATATTGGGGGCTTAGCCCCCCTAAAATGAAAATCCTAGTGACGCCCCTGGTTAGGGTTAAGTGAGGGGATAGAATATACAGTTTATACAGTATAAAAACCATTACGGCTATGGAGAGTCCCCACAAAGAGAAACCAAGTATGTGTGTGTGTGGTTCAGGTATACCATTATGGGGAGAATATGTTCCAATGGGAGATTTTTTTGGTCCCCATTAGGAAAACAGGTTATTAATCAAACTACGTGTTTTTTGAAAATGTAAAAATGCAGAAAGTTGTATGTGATGGGTAGGTTTAGGGTTAGGGGACATGATATGCAGTTTGTACAGCGTAAAAAGTATTATGTCTATGAAATGTGCCCATTAAACATGCATACCCAACGTCTCTCTCTATGTGAGTGTGTGCGCGCGTGTGGAGTAAATGAGAATGATTTGTGAGCATGGATCATGGAACAGTGTGGGACAGTAACTCTGGGTGTAACCAGTACAGAAACATTACAGCACCAGGATAGCAGCTTTCACTGTACATAACAGACATCGAGACATTCATTTGTAGCGATTATACGCACGTATAAATATAATTAATTATTATTCATAACGGATTATGATCAATAATTAATAATTGAATTATTTTCAGAATTTACTGTTGCAAAATCAATAGTATGATCAGTTTATCAGTTCATCCAATGAACGGAAAGCATAAACAATCATTAATTCTAGGAAATATAATATCTTCTTGGCCAAGAAAGACTAATTCCCAGCTAACAGCTAAATTAAGAAATAAATCAAGGGTCAAAGCATAGGTAACTTAGATCGAAGTTCAAGACAATAAATCTGTAAGCACATAACACAAGTAATGCTTCTCTTTTCAAATACAAACAATACTTTATTGATTATAAGCCTATGACTAACACACATAAAACTAATATAACACAAACACACGCACACGCATTCATACAAGTTGAAGAAAGACAGAGAGTGAGGAAGAATGAGTTTTAGGAGTTAGATGGTGAGATCCCAAGTTTCTATATGCACTTAAAAGACATGACCTGAACGAACCATCAATAATTAATTTCACCCTTTTATCGTTTCTTAGGCGGGTAATTCAATTTGATATTAAAATCACCAGTTCAGTTAAAAGTCTGGAGGTACTTGCTTGTCCTTGCTTTGGGGTTCCCTTTTGTCGTGAAGGGGGTTCCCCGGTCCGTTGCTTGGCTGATCTTCTCGTGTGCCTGGATAGATCTTGGACAGCCAGTCACGTGGTGTGTTGGCGCGGATGAATGAAAGTCTTTGAAGTTGAAAGCTGGTTTTGCAGTTGAAACGTTAAAACGAAACTTTGCAGCAACACTTAACTTAGAACCGAGACTTTTAATGGAAAAGAAAACAAACTAAGAAAAGAAAGAAAGGTAACACTTTAGAATACGGTTCCTTCGTTAATGAATAACTACACAGGAACAAATGAGTAACACAATATTAACAATCTAGTAACTACTATTAACTAACAAGAAATTCTGATTAACGAATTAGTAAGTAACAGCGCACAGATGAAAGTGGTAGTTCACTATTAACTAATTGAGAACTACTTTTTTTTAATGCTTCCCAGAGAACTACTGAAGAAGATTAATAGTTCATGCAAAACTAATCAATAACTAATGCAGGACAAATGACTAGCACTACATTAACATTGATAACTGCTGTAAACAAATACACAAGGTTTATCAATATGTAATAGCATAGCAGACTTATGATTTGGGAAATAATTAGCCTATGCTCTCTCCTAGAGAACTATTTATCAACTGAATAATTTTAAAGAAATGGCTTTTTAAATGCAGTTGTCGGGACCTTACTTGTCCTGTAGTGATTCAATGCCAGTCCAGAGGAATGCCAGAAAATTGGCCAGAGTCACGGTGACGGCTGGAACATATTGAGTTATCGGCCATCCAAATACCATATACAGTGATTTTATGATTTAACCTATACCTCGCAAAAAAAAAAAAGATTTTATTAATGTCTCCTACCTCATACGTGTGTGCAAATATCTTGTGAAGGATTAGAAGATTCTACACTTTAGGATTGGCTTTTCATGTAAGAATCATGATAACTAACTAGTAATGACTCAAGTGTTACTACATACTTCTAAAGGAATTACTAATTATTTGGATCCGTATTCTAAAGTGAAGATCATGGTAACTAACTAGTAATTACTGAAGTGTTACTACATACTTCTAAAGGAATTACTAATTATTTGGATCCGTATTCTAAAGTGAAGATCATGGTAATTAACTAGTAATTACTCAAGTGTTACTACATACTTCTATGGGAATTACTATCTAAAACTTCACCAAAAACCTCAAAAGCTTAAAAGAATTAGTAATTCCTTTAGAATTATGTAGTAACACTTGAGTAATTACTAGTTAGTTACCGTGATCTTCACTTTAGAATACGGATCCAAATAATTAGTCATTCCTTTAGAAGTATGTAGTAACACTTGAGTCATTACTAGTTAGTTACCATGATTCTTACAGTAGTTCTCTGGGAAGCATTAAAAAAGTAGTTATTGATTAGTTAATAGTGAACTACCACTTTCATCTGTGCGCTGTTACTTACTAATTTGTTAATCAGAATTTCTTGTTAGTTAATAGTAGTTACTAGATTGTTAATATTGTGTTACTCATTTGTTCCTGTGTAGTTATTCATTAACGAAGGAACCGTATTCTAAAGTGTTACCGAAAGAAAAGTGACGAGATGGCTTGAATTAAATCTGTTTTAACCCATATCTTGATTTGGGTCATTTGTCTCTGCGTCTACATGGTTACTATAACCATCGTTGGCTCCACCCGGCTTGTTCTGCCGAAAGAGAGCATCACAAGAGCATCACAAGAGAGCATCACAAGAGAGAGAGGGCAAGAGCAGAGGGCAAGAGCGCGATTCTGTGTTCGGGTCTAAGATTTTAAACTCAAAATGTTTGTCCCGCCTCCTGGAGGAATTTGGAATTCGGACAATAAGATACTATATGGTTATTTGAGAGGGGGGTCTTTTCTATCCCCCCCCCCTTCTCTCATCGCGAATCATGTGTTCTCTGTGGTCTGCTTACTCATCAGCTCGAAACAGAGGATTTAGTTTAGACATAATTTCCATTTTAAGAACATAAACATTTTTACACAGATTTCAATCGAGCCATCTTTTGAATTAAAAACATACGAGCATAATGATAGGAAACACGACACTTTCATTCCAGTATCTCTAATATTCAAAACAATTACATGACTTAGATGTGATCTAAGCAGAATAGACACATACAGGGGTTGTAAACACAATATATAATTATGTTATGTTACATGATTTTGATTATGGGTCAGTCAAGAATTGTTCTGGGATGAGTTTTATTGGTATTGGAGAATTGGAGGAAAGTCCTTATGTGTGTGTGTGTGTGTATCCTTATGGTCAGCATTTGTCGCATCCGTGGTGTTTACCACGTGAGGGTTTAGTTCGCAAATGGTGGTCTTCAAGACAAAGGGTATTTTGTATGCAAGTCCACTTTTTCAGCCTTAAGGAGATATAATAATTGATGAGGGGAAAACTAGCTCGGGACGCTGAATGGTTCAGTCTGTTTAGTCGCAGGGGTCAGGTGACTTCTTGTTAGGGCCTCTCGTTTCACCATTTCTAAGCAGATCTGTTCTTGCCAAATTATAAAACATTGACAACGTCCTTCCTTTAGTTAAACAACAAAGGGTCTTCTGGCTACATAGCCTCGGGGTAATCTGGAATATGCCGCCTCTTGTGTTTGATTATGTATGACAGCTTCACTTGTGTGGGTTTCATTCTCGTTGTCGCTACACATTGTTAGGAGAGGTCATGCTATTTATTATTATATTAACATTAATTATATTAAGTAACACAGCCTTGAGGAAAACAGTAACTATATATAAAAAACCACAAAGTACACACATTTTCATTAAGATGCCAAACAAATGATTTTTTGTTGCATCTTTCCGCTAGAATTTCTAATCTCTCACATCACAGAATGCTGCCATAGACACTGCTATAACAGTGATATGATGAACAGTTGTTTACAGATGTTACATATCAAAAATTTCAGCACGGCTGAAACACTGTATTTAAGCCATTGTTATTGTTAACTAAAACTCAAATTATTCATATCTTTTTTGATAATTGAAATTAAGCTCAAATAAATTTAAATATAAATAGATGAAAACCTTAAACCTAAAAAACTTTAAAAAGCCAATTAAAGATATTAATAAATATATATATATATAATATAGAACTATAAGTAACTATAATAGAGTAAAAGTAACTATAATAGTAAGCTATATAAATAACACTAAAATAAACCAATCAGGACTGGAAATATCCATATAATGTTGCAATAAAACATTATAAAAAAAGCAAAACCTCAAAACATATTTTTGTCTCTTTTTTTCTTCTTTAAAATTCTGTCTTTCTCTCATTCTAGATCTGACAGCATGGCTGAGGGTTCAGGTGAGGTTTCGCTGGCAGAGGTTGAGACAGCATTTCGTAAATTTGCAGTTCATGGAGACACCAAAGGAACAGGGAATGAGATGAATGGGAAAAACTTTGTTAAGCTGTGTAAGGACTGCAAGGTCATCGATGGGAAAAGTGTCACCAGCACGGATGTGGACATCGTCTTCAGCAAAGTCAAGTATGATTATTCGCACTATGACCGACAGCAAACTGTTTTATTTTTAATCCTGTGCAATGGACGTATGCATGACTGGGCCTAACTTTGTGCTGTTCTGTATCTGCTTATGTGTCTTAGGGTTAAATCAGCACGTGTCATCACGTTTGAGCAGTTCACTCAAGCCATGGCCGAGTTGGCTACAAAACGTTTTAAAGGGAAGAGCCAGGAAGAGGCAGTACAGCTTCTCTACAGTCTCATGGCTGGCAAAGAACCTGCCAACATTGGTGTCACTGTGAGACCCAGCCAATCAAATCAGTCTGTTTTCATAGATTAAGCAATAACCATGTACAATAACCATGGATAATCTTTTTCTCTCTGTAGAAAGTGGAAAAAGCCTCTGCTGTGGACAGGCTAACAGACAGCAGTAAGTTCACTGGTTCTCATAAGGAGCGTTTTGATCCGTCTGGAAAAGGAAAAGGCCGTGTTGGGAGGGAAGACATCCCTGACACCAGTGGATACGTCTCGACATACAAAGGCCAAGGCACCTATGACAGCAAAGTAAAAGGGGACGATTGAGAGAGGAAGGATGAAAAGAGAAAAATGCTTTATGCATGACATAATGTGTATGTCTGAAGTCTTGCTGGTTTTATTTCCGCAGCTGTGTTGTGACTTGCCTGCAAAAATAAACCCTGGCTAAAACTTTTTCATGTGGTAAAAAGCACTGTATCTAACCCACTTGCCTTTCATAAGTTAACATATCATTTAATTTTAAGAATAAATAAAACCAAATAACAACAGTTAAAGGGTTAATTGTGTCATCATGTTTCTTCTGTGGAACATAAAAGATTTAAAATAGTTTAAAAGATTAAAAAAAGTGTGTCAGTTTTTGTTTGTCCCAACAATGGAAGCCAATGGTAATCATTCTGATTGGTTACCAAAATTCTCCAAAATATCTTCTTTTGTGAATCACAGTAGAAAGAAAGTCAGTAACACAATTATGCATAATTACAACTAACCCTAAACCCAACACTAATAACCCTAAGCCTATAGTATGTTGTTGTAAGATTACTCAGTACTTAAATGTATAATTACACTGCAACAATTAAGGACACCTTAAAATTGTAACCAGAAAGTCTTGATTTTTGGTTAAACTATCCCATTAAGTGCTTCTTTTTCTATGCTGGTGTTAATAATGTATGTGTGCTGGATAAATGAGCTTTATTGTGTGTTTTCGCTTTGTTGCACTGAGATCTCTATCAGACTGTAAACACTAAACTGAGTCGACGCAAATAAAGTCAAATAAAGAAACGGCATGTGGGAATATTTTACTTAAATTACAACACACATTATTGTGATGTTTTGCATCATTTGTGACTGTCTTGTGTTGTAGACAGAGGTGTGGTGCGTTTCTTTGAATAGCTGTTCTGGGGCTTCAATCATTACAAAACAGAGATCCTTCCTGGGAAAGTGCATGTTTGATTGCTTAGAAAAGTTAGCAGCTTTCATCATATTTCATGGCTTTGATGGGTGTCATTGTGTTGTATTGTGTGGTGTTATAGTTTAAAACTCGGTGGGGTTTTGTATTTCAGTGTATCTGAGGCAAGTCACAGTTACATGAACTGATATCTCCCTTGTTGTAGCTTTTTTTTTAATTCATATTGCCGATGTAAAGCTCCTCTTTAAAAACACACACATACACCTGAATCTTAAAAACACAATTACAAAACAGAGATCCTTCCTGGGAAAGTGCATGTTTGATTGCTTAGAAAAGATAGCAGCTTTCATCGTATTTCATGGCTTTGATGCGTGTCATTGTGTTGTATTGTGTGGTGTTACAGTTTAAAACTCGGTGGGGTTTTGTATTTCAGTGTATCTGAGGCAAGTCACAGTTACATGAACTGATATCTCCCTTGTTGTAGCTTTTTTTTTTATTCATATTGCCGATGTAAAGCTCCTCTTTAAAAACACACACATACACCTGAATCTCCCTGCCTGAATACAGAAGGAGGAGGAGGTGCTGTCAGGATATAAAGTTGAACATCACACAGACTCTGATTTTCATTTGCTCCCACTGAGACTCAAAGGGCAGAAACAGAAACAGCCATCAGACATGAAAGGTGAGAAAATAAATCACTGTTTCTGTACAGAAATAATTATTCAGAGAGTAAGTGCCTAACAAACTTGGCAGATATGCACCTGTTAAACATTCAGGGGAAAAAAAAACATTCAGATGTTGCTTGTGTGTCTTATAATATAGTTTTGAATAATATCTTATTATAGTAACATTTTATATTGTTATTTGTTTTTAATTGTATTTATTACAAGTCTATTGGAAACTCATAGATACTTCAGAAATGTATTTGTTATTCATTTTTTAAACAAAATAAATATCAAGAAGTTTTTGTCAAGAATTATTTATACAGCTTTTAAAGACTAATAAGCTTATCTAATATTTAAGAGGCAGAAGCATCTGTTACATTAATTTGTTTATATTGTGCTAGAATCTGCAGACTTTTTTAGATTTTGTACGAAACAAATCTATGGAATTCTACGGAATCGATTTTCGTAAAATGTTTTCAATATAGCTGAAGTTGCTGCACTCTTCATGGTAGCCGAAATAATTATTAAATTATGCTTAAGGGGAAGTCTGCAGATGTAGATTTCATGTGGGCTGAGTTATAAGTGAAAGATTTGTATACATTTGATCTCATGGTTCAAATTTCATGAGCTTGAACTAAACAGACAAAATGTGTAATGTAATCATAGTTATGACAGAATGTGATTACCCTTTGTGAACAATTTGATCAGGAAAAGGCGTTGTGCTGTTCTTTGTGTTGCCGCTGGTGTTCGGCCAGCAAAAGACCTACACCTGGGACGTGCCAGGACAAACCCTTGCTCCAGACCCCATCAACCGTAAGAATCATTGCAAATCTCCTTGAAAATCTTAATAATGCTGTAACAATATGTAAATGAACAGCAACATAAAAGATAGACATATAACTTTTGCGACTAATATCTTTATTCCTCTCTACCTAGCGTGTCTGACTGACCAGGACTCATGTGGTTGTTGTGTGATGCAGAGGAAAAAATGGCAGTTAGAAGAATATTTAAACTCTAGTATGAATTCACTGGAGGATTCGCTGGCCAGAGCACAAAACACACTGAGAAACATAAGAGGTACACATAAACGCTGCTATCTTTGAGCACATACATCATCTCAAGCTCAACAGACTCTATGGACCTTTAGTTTTGTAAATAAACATTTTAAAATGTACAGAGCGGATGTCTTATATAATAGACAACTTATTTGATGCACAAAATGAACAGTCAAAATAAAACAGAAATCTGAAATAACTGCACCTAATCTGTTGGTCTTATTTATTTTGTGTTATATTTTTACGTACATGTTTCATACATGTTCCTTGTTCATCTTTAGAGAATCGAGTGGCGTTTTCTGTGGGTCTAACCGACAGGAGACGCTGTATTGGTCCGGCAAGGACGGCAATAAATGTGGTCTATCAGAGCATCTTTATCAACATTGGAGAGGCCTACAACTCATCCACTGGTGTGTTCACGGTTCCACGGTCAGGCGTGTATAACCTGGCATTTACCGTGTTCAGCGACGCAGGCTCACCAGGCGCATCGCTGTCCGTTTGTACCAGTATCAGGAGGAATGGTGTGGCTCTAGCAGCACTTAGGGAGATGTATGATCAAGACCAGGAGGACCAGGCCACAGCGGTCTTACTCGCGCAGCTAAGAGTCGGCGACCGTATTACCATCAGTCTCCACACTGGCTGCTGGCTCTGTGATGATCAGAATCATTACAACACATTCAGTGGATTTCTGCTGTATGCTACAGAGTGAAGCTCACAAACACACACATACACAGACTTTAAAGGCTAAATTAGTGAAGAGCTCTCATAGATGCAATGTATACAACTATTTGACCGTATAGACAAACCTAGACACACTCACTCACACACACACTTCGGGTTTACAATCTTTGTGGGGAATCTCCATCAATGTAATGGTTTTGACAGTGTACAAACCGTATATTTTACAGAAAACTTTCTGCATTTTTACATTTTCAAAAAAACAGTTTTGAGTCAGTAAGTCTGTGTGAATTGAGGTTGAAGTGCCCACCGGAATAGAAAAAGACAAACACACACAGACACACACACAGACACACTCAGTAAGATAAATGTTGTAAAAGGCACAGATGTTGAACTAGCATTAATAAAATTAAATAGAATTGTTTCTCTATCATTTACGTTCTCCTTCCCCTAGTACTTCATCTAAAGTATTCATCTAAACTTCATATTTGGTTGATTACACCAATCCTCTCTTTAACTAGATTAAACTATTTTAAACTAAATTAAAAAATGTCTCTTATTGTGTTATACGTATAATATTTTGGTTTATGTAAAATACATAAATGTAACAAAACAGTGTTTCATCAACGGCTACCTAAAGTAAAAATCAATAATCAAAAGACTAAGATCCTAAACTTCCGATATTTCATTAATTTTATTTTGTAATAATATGCAATTCAGTATATAATATAAATAAGTAGTAACTTATAATATACTCTCTAATTCATTAGAATCACCTGGGCCCTTAAGAGAGCAGCCAGAAAAATGGAGCGCAACTGGAAGAAAACTAAACTAGAGGTATTTCGGATTTCATGGAAAGAGAGCTCGATTGCTTACAGAGAGGCTTTAAAAGCTGCTAGATCTGCTTATTTTTCAACCCTATTAGAAGAAAATAAACATAATCCTAGGTATTTATTTGAAACAGTAGCTAAACTAACGAAAAAGAAAGCTTCAAGCTCAGAAGTGTCCAAGCTACAACAGCAGTAATGACTTTATGAACTTCTTCACTTATAAGATCGATAATATTAGGGACAAAATTATAACTATGCAACCGTCTACCACAGTATCGCATCAGGCAGTGCATTGTAGTCTCCATGAGGAAAAATTTGATTCATTTATTGCCATAGGAGAGGACGAATTTTCTAAACTTGTTAAATCATCTAAATCGACAACATGTATGTTAGACCCTATACCGACTAAACTACTGAAAGAGATGCTTCCAGAGGTCATAGATCCTCTTCTTACTATCATTAATTCGTCTTTGTCTCTAGGATACGTACCAAAAACCTTTAAGCTGGCTATGATAAAACCGCTTGTTAAAAAACCGCAACTTGATCATACAAAATTAGTCAATTACAGGCCGATCTCGAATCTGCCTTTTCTATCAAAGATATTAGAAAAAGCAGTATCCTCACAACTGTGTTCCTTTCTAGAAAGAAATGATATCTGCGAGGATTTTCAGTCAGGATTCAGACCGTACCATAGTACCGAGACAGCTCTCATCAGAGTCACAAATGATTTGCTCTTATCATCCGATCGTGGTTGTATCTCTCTATTAGTGTTACTTGATCTTAGTGCTGCATTTGATACTATTGACCACAACATTCTTTTAAATAGACTCGAAAATTATGTTGGCATTAGTGGAGTTGCACTAGCATGGTTTAAATCATACTTAACTGACCGTTATCAGTTTGTAGCAATAAATGAAGAGATGTCTTATCGATCACAAGTTCAGTATGGCGTACCACAAGGCTCAGTACTAGGACCGCTGCTGTTCACTCTGTACATGCTACCATTAGGAGATATCATTAGGGAACATGGAATTAGTTTTCACTGTTATGCCGATGATACTCAGCTGTATATTTCTTCACGCCCCGACGAAACTTACCAATTCACAAAATTAACGGAATGCATAGCCGATATAAAAAATTGGATGACTAGTAATTTCCTACTACTAAATTCTGAAAAAACAGAGATTCTAATAATTGGACAAAAAACTTCCACACGTAATAACCTAGAATACTGTCTAACACTTGATGGCTGCTCTGTTAAGTCCTCGTCGTCGGTTAGGAACCTGGGTGTGCTCTTTGATACCAATCTCTCATTTGAAAGTCACGTGTCTAGTATCTGTAAAACCGCATTTTTCCATCTTAAAAACATATCTAAATTACGCCATATGCTCTCACTAACAAATGCAGAACAATTAGTTCATCTACTGGGTGGTTGCCCTGCACGCTTAATAAATAAACTACAGCTAGTTCAAAACGCAGCAGCTCGAGTTCTTACCAGAACCAGGAAATATGACCATATTAGCCCGGTTCTGTCAACACTGCATTTGCTGCCTATTAAACATCGTATAAATTTTAAAATATTGTTGATTACTTACAAAGCACTAAATGGTTTAGCTCCGCAGTACTTGAGCGAGCTTTTAAAGCATTATAGTCCTTCACGTCTATTGCGATCTCAAAATTCCGGCCAGTTGATAATACCTAGAATATCAAAATCGACTGCTGGCGGGAGATCCTTTTCCTATTTAGCACCAAAACTTTGGAACAGTCTTCCTACCATTGTCCGGGAAGCAGACACACTCTGTCAGTTCAAAGCTAGACTAAAAACACATCTCTTTGACCTAGCATACACATAATACATTATCGACTTCTATAATTCAATGTTAGGCTGCATAGGTCAGCCGGAACTGGGAACACTTCCCTTAAATCCAGATGTACTCGTTACATCATAAGAAGAATGGCATCTACGCTAACTTTAGTGTCTTTGTTTATCCCGAGGTTTTCCTGCAGCATGCCGGATCCAGGTCGTATCCAGATCCCGATGACAATGCAGTGCTGAAGTGTCAACTATCCTCTCCCTATGGAGGATCCCTTTCCCACTCTACAGATAAAGCGTTGTTGAAAATCCGGTTCGCGTGCCCCGAAGTGATAAAATAAAATTCTGTATCAAATTTATAGGCAAGACAAGTAGTTTGTTTAGCCATGGTTGGTAGGGAAATTACAAACCTGCGCACACATATTCAAACGAATATAACTATAGAATCAATTTTTAATGCGCATGTGAACGTCATCCGGTCACAGGTTCGCGTTTAAAGTCTGTTTAGAGAGAACGGCGTCGTCTTAGTGGCCCCTAATGTAATAACAAATGATAATTTTGCTAGAAGTGAATCAATCAAAACCAACTTTAGCCGGAAATAACATTCAAAATCGCTATAAAGCCAAAACAATCTCTGTTACCGTAAATTGTATGTTTACCTCTGTAAAGCTGCTTTGAAACAATCTCCATTGTTAAAAGCGCTATATAAATGAAGATGACTTGACTTGACTTGACTTGAAACTTTTCAGCTTTGCCCTGTATTCTGAACCGTCTGCTGGGGCTCCTCCTGCCTGCCTGCCTCTCTGCCTTGGCTTCTTCCTCCTTCCACTTCCCCAAGGAACTTTAGTGTTTTGTAATGTCTGTAATCCCCTCCGGAGGGGTTCTGTCACCGGTCCTCCCTCACTTCCCAGCATTCTTCCTGCTCATCATCTGAACATACTCAGTAATTGTAACACCTGCGTCAATTAACAGGCACTGACAATATACTAATATCTATAGGCCAGTAGGTTCGGCTCGGAAGGCATAAATTAAACAGCTTAGCTTTGTGAGGAAATAAATCTATTGAAAATAAATGTATTCTTTGTAGAGAATAAAGTAAAAGAAAGTAAAAGAAAGAAATTATTTCCACAGTATCAGTTGAATAATAGATTGTAATGACAAAGAAACTCAAATCAAATTGCAATACATGAGTTATTCATGGACTAATCTGGGTGCACCCAATAACTATAGAGTAGACTCCAACCTTATAACAAGTTCGCAATTATAACTTTTGACAACCTCAGTTAACTCAAAACATAAAAAAATAACTCATTGGGATACAAAATGTTACAAGAACAATTTAGGAAATTTTTATTCAATAGATTCTGTTCAATAACTCTGTTCAGTACATTCTCGTGTGGGTTGACTCGGCATCTCACATCGTCCTCTAATCGGAGTTCCAGCATGGAAAAAAAAAAAACCCTGACCAAAATCCAAAGAAATAAACACATACATATTTTATCCTTGGCGGCGACTCTTTTTAGCTTTTGCTCAAAGTTATGCTGCTGCTTATATCATTAGTCTCGTGGAGAGAGAAAATGGCTTCCCTCATCCCACAACTAGCTTGGTGTGGTGGGATTTCAACCTATACTTAATGTGATTGGATGATTACTGCAATGTCAATCATCACACTACCATGCATTTCACTTTGATTTTCTTTTTTAATTAGTATTTCTGGTTAGTTTATTATTTTAACGCCCTTTAATTTATTCCTTTTTATAATACATTTAAATTATACATGGTTACATCCTCCCCTCTTAAAGGTAAGCAAGTCTCTTTGCGTTTTGTCCTGAACTTGATCCTTCAGTTAACTCTTGGGCAGTATTAAGTCAGCTTTTGGAAAGTCAGCAAGACTCATTGAATAAACCACTGCCTCACTCAAGGATTGGAACAAGTTTTGGACTACTGAGGTAAGGGTACTGGATAATGGAATTTCTTTGGAGGTTTTGGGACCCTGTTTGATCGTCTTAGGTTATGATCTGCACCTGGTCTTGCAAATGAATTAACTCGTTCTGTTTCTTCTTCCAGATCCTGATCATCTGTGGACATATCCTTTTCCTCCTCATCACCAGCTGGATCGTATGATGGTAAGTATTCTCCTTCAATTTTGTTTCCTGTTGGGAATGGTTCTTGTACTTCAGGATCTGTGGGTTCATATATTTCTGTCTCCTCTCCTAAACTTTCATCCAGCGGAAGAATGTTAGCTGGACTGTTTACAGTCTGATGTATTTCTGTTTTATGAGGTAAGTCTGGTTCCTGAGGTAAATAGGATCTCTGAGGTGAGTCTTTTTCTTTCCCATCAGCCACTTTTGACTTTGTGATGTCATATGCATGGATAATCTTTGTTTTTCCAGCAGGAATTCTACTGAATATGCTAATTTCATCCTCTGAATCAGATTGTTCCTCATTTATCAGTTCTCTCTTTCTTTGGCTTCGTGTCTTAGGCTTGGAGATGTTTTCTGCATCTGGAATGCTTTCCTCCGGAGAAGCAAGAAAACCACAAGGTAATAATAGATCCCTGTGCAATACTCGCACTGGAACATCCTTATCATGTGGACAAACCTTATAAACTGGCAGATCTCCAACCCGTTCTGCTACTATATGGATAGTAGGCTCCCATTTGTCTGCGAGTTTATATTTTCCCCTGATTCGGACATTCCTCACAAGGACTTTATCTCCCACTTCAAGAGTTGACTCTTTCACTCGTTTGTCGAATCTGTCCTTATTCCTCATTGCAGACTTTGAAGCGTT